CCCTCGAGCAGATCAACACTGCCGCCAACTTGGTGTCGTCTGCAATTATCCTTCCTTTTGCTTGATAACTTCTTTTATAGAATTTCTCTTGGATAACCTTTGCATAAGGATAATTCATTTCATGAAATGCAAGGGGAAGAGAAGATTCAAAGATACTGCTCAAAGCAGACAAAGTTTGTATTGTCATTCAGATAGCCTCTTAGCTAACAGCATGGGTAGACCCAGAGAGTCTCTCATCTCCCAAGGGACAAATCCAAAACAGCTTAGTTACAACTCTGAAAAAGACCTGCCACAAATACCTGTTATAAAGATTGTAGGTTTACTCTCAAAACTGAAATTTAATTACAAAAACTTCTCAGCGTGACTTATGACATGGCTTGACATCATCTCTGGGAAAATACACAATATGCAAAAATTATTCTTTTTACTCTAGAACATGAAGTCCCACTTTCTTATGATATTACATTCTTGCCTATAAGCATCTTATTTTTATGATTATTATTAGATCATATTTTCTGAAAACATGACTTTTTGGAAATGATTCTACAGGATCTAGAATATGTTGATAAATATGCCTTAGTGATTTTATATATAATCAGTGAGTTTATTAATTGCTGCCACCCAGTGGGCTCATTTGTAGGCTTTGGCTCACCATACTATAATTTAATACATCATTGTTTGGTTAAATGATTTCATCCTTTCCATCTGAAGGAGTGTGATTTATTTTCCTCTAACAGCAGCCACTAAAAATGAATGTTTCAAGCTACAAGCTGTGGCTGACTTAAAAACATATTGTCCTACAAAAACCTCTTCTTCATATTTATAGCGTGGGAATAGCCTCATGGAAGGCAACACATAGATGAGCTTCAAGATAACTATACGTGAGATTATCTGCTTTGCCTCTGGACCTACCTGCAAAGTCCAAGGCAAATACTTTGCTCTATTTAAATGATAAATATTCTATCAGAACTAAGAAGTTGTTAAACATGTTACACGGGGGGATCTCTTTCCTGAAAAGTGCTGCTATTTCTGACCCTCACTTGCCCTGGGGTACTCGTGCACTTGAAGTTATGCACTTGACGGAAGATAAGCCATGCAGTTTGTCTTGCCTACCTGCGGTCCACTGGTGCCAGGAGAAGTCACGGGCTCTCAGCACACCTCAGGAGCTGGCCTGTATAACACTGAAGTGAATAAATTGGCTTTTAAAACTGGGCTGCTGTGTTAACAGCTTCTACAATCTATATAAGTGTTATGAATAATGAAATAAGACAATGGCAATGACAACACATTATTGAAGAGCTGTTAAGTGCTGCATTATGAATTCATTTTAATGCTGCTCCTGGATGAGAGAGCTTGCATGCCTGTGCGCGAGGAGGAGGAGGGAGAGAAGGGAAGCTCCTTCATATTCTTCTTGTTGACCTATATTTTGAATTTAGCTACCTGTTCAATTTAGAGCATGTTATTTCCAGGAGGACTGGCCATTGGGGGGAGTGTTATGCTGCCCTTAATTTTTGTGCACTCAGAGGTCTTGTTGGGCTAGCCAGCAGTACAACTAGATGCCGACAGTGAAGAAAAAGAGAAAATAACCCTCTTACACATTCCTGGGTTATCCAGACCTCGTCTGTAATCCTGCAAACCAAGGCTGTCCACCATTGCTGTTGACACAGGTGAGGTGGCAAAGCACAGGAGAGGGCAGGGGCAAGAACAGGCAGAGTCTTGGCTCAAACCCAGAAGGGACTATAGGTGGGCATAAATTATCTTCCAACCTTGCCCTAAGATAAGAATAAAGTTGGGAAAGAAATGCACTCCAAGGCCCACACCTGGGGAGGTGCAGGTTATGCATCAACCCTCCAATCAGGGTTTCTGTGTCAAAAACCACTGTCCCTTTTACTGACTTTAGTGGGAGTACTGTAAAATAAGGTAACACTCTGAAGGAATAAAGGTGGAAGAATTTGGCTTCAGTGCTTTATAGAAGCTAAATAAATCTACTGCAAGAAATCCAAAGTATCTGGAGGTTAAAGTGGAGGAAGATATTACATCCTTATACGATATTGCTCATGCTCAAGCACAGCATGGGCACAGATGCAGGGAAAAAGATTTATTCCAGCAATGACAGTGGAACCACTTCTGTAACCAAAGACACTGGGGAATGAAATCACCTTTATTGCTCATCAATGGCAAAAAAAAAACCCCTTTTGCTTCCTGCCTATAAAGATTTTCACCTTTGATGCTACAGCACACGACCAATAAATCACACGGTAAATGAAATTTCCTCTTACATTTTTAATATTTCTTCATTCCCAGCATGAGCCTCAGCTGGAGGGAAAAACAAAAACTCTCCAGAGCTTACCAGTTGGAAGTGTTACAATATTGATTTCACAGAAGGTCACAGATCCAGTTTGTGGTTTTTTCACCTATTCCCCAAACAAGATATAGGACCAAAGCAGCAATGCTGGGAACGTCAGACCAAACAAGAAATATCAGAAACTGGTAAAATTGAAGCAAAATAGAAGGGATTCAAAACTTCCTACAACACAAGGAGAAGTGAAAAAGACATAGTAAGAAATTGTTGAGGACTTCATAGTTACTTCTCCATCATCCTTCAGAATGAATCCTCTATTCAACTGCATTCCAGACTGTTGGCCTCAAAACTGATGTTTATTGATCTGACCATTTAAATTTCCTTATATCATGGCAGCCACATTTCACCAAGTAATGCTGAGTCTCAGTTAGAAGCAGATCTCCTTCTTTCAAGAGAAAATGTGAAAGGTAACAGTTGTGCATACTGGGGGAAATAATTAGAGAATTCATCTGTATCCAGGGCAAAAAAAGTAAGGACATTGGTAATCTAACTCTCCACATTTACAAATATTTCTCATGCAGTAAAGTGGAATTCTATTATCTGAGTTCTTTTATTCTTCCATGTTCAGAAATGAGACAGATACAGACCTCTCAACTTACCTGTTGACACTAAGCTGTCAGGTGGCCAAAAGGGATGAAAAAAGTCATCTGCGGTTTTGATAATAACATTCTCTATTTCTTTTTTTTTCACAGCTCCATTCAACCCTCCCAATGCTGCGGACAGTATGGTCAAATTTGATGCTTATGGAGATGGGATAGGACGATACAACGTGTTCAATTTCCAGTACACTGGAGGCAGATACTCCTATGTGAAGGTCGGTCACTGGGCAGAAACCTTGTCACTTGAAGTAGACTCTATCCACTGGTCCAGGAGCTCCGTCCCTGTCTCTCAGTGCAGTGACCCCTGTGCTCCTAATGAGATGAAGAATATGCAACCAGGAGACGTCTGCTGTTGGATTTGTATTCCCTGTGAAACCTATGAGTACCTGGCTGATGAATTCACCTGTGCAGACTGTGGGCCTGGAAAATGGCCCACAGCTGACCTGACCGGCTGTTACGACCTACCAGAAGACTACATCAAGTGGGAAGATGCTTGGGCAATAGGTCCTGTTACCATTGCATGCCTGGGCTTTATTTGTACTTTTATGGTCATTGCAGTGTTCATCAAGCACAACAATACCCCCCTGGTCAAAGCCTCTGGCCGTGAACTGTGCTACATATTGCTCTTTGGGGTCTTCCTGTCTTACAGCATGACTTTCTTCTTCATAGCCAAACCTTCTCCAGCTATCTGCACCCTGCGTCGTTTGGGGCTAGGAAGTTCCTTTGCTGTCTGCTACTCTGCCCTTCTGACAAAAACAAACTGCATAGCCAGAATATTTGATGGTGTAAAGAACGGTGCTCAAAGGCCTAAGTTCATCAGCCCCAGCTCTCAGGTGTTCATCTGCCTGAGTCTCATTTTGGTACAGATCGTGGTGGTGTCCGTGTGGCTTATCTTGGAGGCCCCTGGCACCAGGCGGTACACTCTTCCTGAGAAAAGAGAGACTGTCATATTGAAATGCAATGTCAAAGATTCCAGTATGTTAATCTCCTTAACATATGATGTAATCCTCGTAGTCTTATGCACTGTATATGCCTTCAAAACACGGAAGTGTCCAGAGAACTTCAACGAAGCCAAGTTTATCGGTTTCACAATGTACACAACGTGCATCATATGGCTGGCCTTTCTCCCCATATTTTATGTGACATCCAGTGACTACAGAGTAAGTCTTTGGATATCTGTTTCCATAAATCATGTGCATCACTTTAAAGGACCCTGTTGTCATTCACTAAAAGCTTCTTTCACTTCTTTTGTCCTCTGCATCCCTTGCAAACCAGCTCTGTTTCAATGTTCATACCCATCTAAGCATATTACCAAATTTTAGCTTATTTCTAAGAAAGATGGTCTCATTTCAGACTGAGCATGTACAGTTAGAGGTGGAGGGGATTAGCACTATCAGTCTGATTGTGATAGAGACATAGCGTATGGTATTCATACTGGTACATCGGTATGTGAAGTCATAGTCCTAACAGAAAAACCTAGTAGATCATGAGCTAGAATGAGTCAGAATGAGTTATTTGGTGGAGGTGGACCTTAAATTAAGAACTGAACTAACTAGTCTCCTTCTGCAAAAGAATCTGCCATTCAAACATGGTATTTTCTTCCAAATAAAAAAGATAAGGAAAGAATTTCAAAATTTCCTATGAAACAGGGTTGTTTAAAAAAAAAAAAAAATTCCAACAGATGTTATGCTTGAATATAGAACTTTTTATTCTTTCTTCACTTTGTAGGGGATAAAACACATACCTCACTGAGCAGAAAATACTGGTCAGCCTTCACCAACAAACTTAAAAAACATTAAATTGTTTAAATTGTCACATAGTGTTGCAAAGCTTCAAGTTCAATAAAATCATATTTTTGGACAGAAGAAAATTGTCTCAGAAAAAGATTCAGATCTGCTCCACTGGAAATCTCACACTTATTAGGATGTGAGAAGTGACTGCTGGAGTTGGCTCTTACAGCAGTTTGCGGTGAATTAATTCAACTTTCTGCCCAGAAGAAAGGTAGATCAGCTTAGGGTGGTATTATTACCAGTAGTATGTACATGAAATAGCATGTAAAACTGTGGAGCTAATAATGTCACTTAACATACTTTTGGTGTGACCACCCTGGAACAGTGTATTTAGTACTATTTTTCTCAGCTTAGGAAAGGTACTGAAAACCTCGAGAAAACAAGGATAGATAACAAACAATGCAGTAAGACACACAGAGTGACAATAAAAGAGCTAAATATATTTAGTCTAGACAAGAGTAAACCCAGGGAGACGTGATCACAGACTATAAATAATTTCAAGGCAACAAAAAGAGAGAAAGGGATTATTCAGTCTCAGGAGAAATTAGAATGGCGAGTAAAGGATGGAAGCTAATGAAGGAAAAGTTTAAGGAAGGCACTGGGGAACAGATCCGGACACCTAAAGTAATCAGGAAGATAGACACAGAAGGAGGGGTACTATCCATGCAGACAGTCACGTGAGTGGGCAGCACAGACACTAATGGTCAAAATGAGCATGACTTGATTGCTCAAGCAGCATTTTTCAGCCTTATCTCCCTAGTGGGATTTTCAAAACTACCTGTAAACATTTAATTTAAATACAAGATTCCAAATAAGCTAACCAGAGTCTTACCAAAATGACAGAAAATGCTTTTAATACCTTTTTTCGTACTTTCATGACATGTCAGGAGCTTTTTGAAAATCCTATCCTAGATGTCTACACTTCTGGGGATCCTTTGAAAAGCCCATATTTAATTTCCATGCTGTGTTACATGTTGACTCTGAATCAACCTGTGCCATCCTAATGTAGACCAATAATGGCAGCATCACCAATAAACAACCTTAGACACATAATAGTAGCAATGAAAAAAATGAATGTTGACTGGCTTGAGATTTTATCCTTAAGCACAAACATCACTTACGACTGACCCTCCTGAAAAAAAAGGGAGAGCTCCTGGAAATTTATCCAGAGTTTTGCTGTTGAACACACTGCAGTGGTTAAAGAACAAACAAAAAAAAGTAGTTCAACATAGTATGAATGTTGAATACTGAAGCAGAAATGTCCCTGTATGAACCCTATATGACAGGTGCCAGACAGCATGTTAGATATGCTGGGATGGCATATTACTGTATGTCTCACAGATTCACCCACCAAATTAACTCGCCATTAACCCTGCTATTTGGTTAAGGCCTCCTCTGCTGTGAGAAGGGTTTATGGTATAGCTATGCCTCCACTACATACATACTTTTTTTCTGTTAGACTAAACTTGCTTATATTGGCACGACCACTCTCTTCTCCCTGAATTGAATAAATTTTAACAGCAAAAGGAATGCTGGGGGAAGGGTTTACAGTAGAGCTCTTGGTGATTCCATCATGACGTCAGCTGTGGGATTTTTCCACACACAACATGTCTTCACACAATCACCAAGGTTGGAAGGGACCTCTGGGAACTGTCTTGTCCAACCTCCCCTGCTCAAAGCAGGTCACTCAGGGCTGTGTCCAGTCAGGTTTTGAATATCTCCAAGGATGGAGACTCCACAACTTCTTTGGGCAACCTGACCAGTGTTTGACCATCTTCATAGTTTTCTTATGTTTAAACAGAATTTCCTGTATTTTGGTCCAGCCCATGGACTCTTGTCCTGTCACTGGGCATCACTAGGAAGAGTCTGGCTCCTTTGTCTTTTCTCCTCCCATGAAGTACTTATACGCACTGATAAGATCCTCCTGAGCCTTCTCTTCTCCAGGCTGAGCAGTCCCAGCTCTCTCAGCCTCTCCTCATATGACAGTTGTTCCAGTCCCTTAATCATCTCCACGGCCCTTTGCTGCACTTCCTCCAGTATGTTCATGTCTCTCTTGTACTGGTGAGCCCAGAGCTGGGCACAGCACCCCACATGTGTCACACCAGTGCTGAGCAGAGGGGAGGGATCATTGCCCTTGACCTGCTGGCAACGCTCTGCATAATGCAGCCCAGGAGGCACATTGCTGGCTCATGATATACTTGTTGTCCCAGGATCTTCTCTGCAAAGCTGCTTTCCAGCTGGATGGCCCCCAGCATGTACTGGTGCCTGGGGTTGTTCCTCCCAAGGTGCAGGACTCTGCTCTTCCCTTTGTTGAACTTCATGAGGTTCCTGTCATCCCATTTCTTCAGCTTGTTGAGGTACCTCTGGATGGCAGCCTGGCTATCTGGTGTATCAATGACTCCTCCCAATTCTGTATCATCTTCAAACTCATTGAGGGTTCATTCTGTCCCAGCACCCAGGTTGTTAATGAAGGTGTTAAGCTGCATTGGTCTTAATATCAACCCCTGGAACAACTAGTGACTGGCCTCAGGTTGGACTTTGTGCCACTGATCTCAATCCTTTGAGCCCAACAGTTCAGGCAGCTTTCAGTCCACCTCACCGTCCACTTATCTAGCCTGTACTTCATCAGCTTGTCGCTGAGGATGTTATAGGAGACAGTGTTAAAAGCCTTACTAAAGACAAAATAAATAATATCAACTACTCTCTCATCATCCACCTTTTCACAGTAGAAGTCTATCAGGTTGGTTAAGCATAATTTCCCCTGTGTAAACCCTGACTGACTATTGGCAGTCACTGCTCATCCATGCAAGCCTCCTGCCACATTTACTTGATTTCCTGCCCATTGGGATGGGCAATTCTTAAGCTTGGATGAGGCGATTCTTGAAAAACAGCCAGGCCTCCTGGACCCCTTTTCTCTCCAGGGCCATATCCCATGGTATTCTTCCAAGAAGATGCTTGAACAGGTCAACCTGCTCTGCAGGGTGACGATCCTACTTTTTGCTTTGCTTCCTCCCCTTGGAATCCTGAATTCCACCATTTGCTGGTTGTGGCAGCCAAAGCTTTCCCTGCCTATCACATTCTTGACAAGTTCTTGCTTGTTTCCAAGTATGAGGTCATGCAGAGCGTCTTTCTTCATCAGTTCCTCAATCACCTGTGTTAGGAAGTTGACCTCAGCATGCTCCAAAAACCTCTTGCATTGCCTCTGCCCTGCTGTGTTGTCCCTCCAGCGGGTATCAGGGTGGTTGAACTGCCCCAAGAAGACCAGGGCCTACAAACGTGAGACTTCTTCCAGCTGTCTGAAAAATACCTCTTCTACTTCTTCCTGATTACGTGGTCTATAGCAGACACCCACCACAATGTTGTCCACCTTGGTCTGCCCGCTAATCCTGACCCATAATCTATCAGCTAGCTCAAGACCGATTGCTGGGCAGAGCTCATTCACTCCCGCTGCTCTCTCACACAGAGTGCAATTCCCTCTCCTCGCCCTGCTGCCAGGGTACTGACCTACAGAACTGCAGTTCTGCAAGTAGAGCAGGATCCATCTGCCTGCTACCCACAAGTGACAGACTTCCAGCCTTCATCATCACAGGAGTCTCCATTTCCCAGCTCAACAAACACTGGCTGCCTACTTCTTCTCTAGCACAGGCCAGGCTCTTGTACCTGTAGTGTCAGAGAAGATCCAGCCCACCTTTTTCTCATCATGTCTGACGCTGCAAAGTCTGCTGACCTCCTCCCGTAGCTCCTTAACTTGGCAACAGAAATTGTCCACACCTCCTGCAGAAAAGGAGGACAACTCCCTCAGCCCCCGTGAGAGGCCTCAGGCATCCCTGCAGCCCCAAAGCTGCAGAGCTGCATCCTCCCTCGGGAGCTCGGTCTGGGTCAATCCTGATATACCAGGGATAGTTGCCCCTGTGGGCGCTGGGCACCATGCCCTGTGGCATCCCCCTTGCTCTGCACACAAACACAGCCTTCAGCAAGGTTTCTAGCTCTCTTCTGTGCACATTTCTGCATGCTGCTGTAGGTTAGCACTTACAGAGGGCTCTTCCCAGCACCTGCAACAAGAGTGCCCAACCTTACCTAAGCAAGAGTCAGCTCAGACAAAAGCTCCAAGCTGGTCCAGGACAGCTGACAGAGCTCCTTAGGAGCTGATGGAGGTTGCTAGAAGTCACAGCCTTCTGCAGCAATCTTCTCCCAGCAGCAGCAAGGCACCCTGACGTTCCTTGAAGTGTTCCCAAGAGTCCTCCAATGATCCCAGAAGATGTTCGCAGAAGGTCTAGAAGATCCCAAAGCAGAGGCCAGAAACTGCTCTGCAAACTGCTGCGTTTGGTGGCTGACCCTTTTAGCTGCACTATCAAAAATTTAAAGGAAAGCTCCTGGAAAAGATACATTTCTGTGATGCCATTGATTTTCATGCAGAGATCCACACTGATTTCAAAATCAAAGATACAATGAAATAATTAAATGATATGATTAAATAAGTACGCGTAACATAAATTCACAGCAGCCCCAATATCTAGCACATTTAAGGGCATTTTCAACATGATCACCTTAGACAAAAGCTTAAGAAATGCTGCCATAACACAGGAAGGGAAAAGTCTGGGTGTTAAACTGGTTATAAGGAAATCAGGTGTCCAAAGTTCCTACTGTTTAGACAGTTCTCCCCTGCATTTTCTTTAGGGGTAATTCTGGCTCAAGGAGCTGGCCCCCCCTGCCAGTCGTTCCTGCCTGGTCTAGTAGGATTGCCTCCGTTCTGCCAGCCCGCCAGTGTCTGTGAGGCTGGCTTACACACCAAACCACTGAACTGACCTGGGTTAAAAGGAACTCTGTGGGATGGGGCTATTTTTAACCCAAATCATTTCATTGATCGAGCGTATAATTGTGTCAGCACAGCTGAGCTGCTCTGGGAGGCACAAACCCTAGCAGAGCAGGCTGGGGAGGAGGAGGGCTTTGCTAGTGAAGAGAACTTACCTTGGAACAACTACCTTCCTTTATTCTTGTTTTATAAGAAAACTCCCAGTCCTGTTTTACCAGTTCAAGACCCACCCAGGACTGACTGCAGAGCCCTGTGGGCCAAATGCAAGGAAGTGAAGGAGAAAGTGCAGCTGGAATCACTAAGGTGTCCCTTCCTCATGCTGCTCCCGCAGGGTCTTCCATGTTCACTCACCCTGTGAGAGCTGAGCTCTTTTTCGTGGTGCTTTGCCACATCTACCTTGGGCAAAGAGTGATTATTATATGATCACATTAATTATACTCACTGCTGACAAAGCATTTGGTGCCCTGTATACACATATAAAGCAACAAAGTCCATTCCCTACTCTATTTTTCATTTTGCACCAATTATTTCTGACAAGGAGATATGAGAAGCATTCCCATGGAAGAAGGCTAATCTCCAAGGACTGCAGGAGTGTAACTAAGGAAAAGTGAGCCACGGATGTATAATCATTCAAATTAAGCAGTAGAGTTTAAAGCAGTTTAATTCAACATCTTAATTAAGGAATCTGCTTGCAAGAAAAGAATATAAACTGAAAATGAGGCAGTAAACTGGCACCTAGTTATACCATTGAACAAAAAAGGAAGAAAGATAGACAGTGCCAGCAAAGTTACACTAACAATGTCCCAAGGCAACTACTCTAAAATCCTGCAGCCTTACAAACAATTCATTTCTGAGCCCAGACACTTAAGTCTCAAAGTCAGGGCCTTTTCATGTCCAGTCTGACAAATGTCACCAGCTCTTACCTTTACTCCAAATCACACCTATGTTTCTGCAAGGGATTGTTCAAGTTCTCTGATTAGGATTGAGGCTGGAGGCTAAACTGGTTTTCAAGTAGATGCTTTGCATGAGGCATAACCCCACATAAAGCATGGTATATGCAAGCTGCTTTCCACTGCAGCCAGCTTTGCCCAGTTGTTGCATGACAGGCGTTACAGAGAACTTCCTGATCAATTTAGGAATCAAGGACATGGAGGATGAGAGAGAGAGCAGAACTACTCTTTCTTTGCTAAACTGAGGGAGAACACACTCAGTCAAGCTCCCCCTGATATGCAGAGCACCATCAGCACCACGCACCTCCCTCATATGATCCTAGGATTGTGGAAGCTAAGGACACGACCGATGTTCAGGCCAGCCCGTACCAGTGCAAACCCCCAGGACTCTGGTTCCTACTGTTGTATGATAATGCTTCTAATACTCTGCATTTCAGAGCTTTCCATACTGAAACACAGCGCTTTGCGCCCACTCTCTCCTAGGTGCAAACCACCACCATGTGCATCTCTGTGAGTCTGAGCGGCTTTGTTGTGCTGGGCTGCTTGTTTGCGCCCAAGGTGCACATCATCCTCTTCCAGCCCCAGAAGAACGTGGTCACTCACAGACTCCATCTCAACAGGTTCAGCGTCAGTGGGACCGGGACCACTTACTCCCAGTGTAAGTAACAAAACTGCCACCTTTCTGTAAGGATGTGGGTGAGTTTGCGTAAAGACAAGATGGGTTTTATATCAGCAACAAAAAGACCTTTATAGGCCAGGCTGTGTACCCCGTGGAAGCATCACTTCACTTGGGTCTGGAGAGAAAAACTCAGCCCCCTCCCATGGGAATAGGCCCAGAGCCTGCTCTAAAGCTCACTGAAGTCAGCAGAAACCTTTCGGCAGGCTCTGACTCCATCCCTGCACAAAGCAAGTAGAGCCCGTCGCTTGCTGTCTCTCGCAGCAGCGACAGGAACAGATCGCTCTGGAGTATTCCTGTCAAAGTGACGGGACCTGGGCCACAACGCAGCATGCTCTCAATGGCTCTTATCACCTGCATTATAAGGAAAGGCTCCAAGTCTGCAGCAAATGCATACAAGGGATGCCGTAAGCTGTATCTGTATGCTGAGCATTGAGCAATACCCTTTGTAAATGCCACAGCCGGGAGAAGCAATCAGTGCTCTGCTGCAAGGACACCTCATCTGCTCTGCCTCCCTCCTTTCCCTCATCTTCAGTCTCTTCATCCCAAACAGATTCACATCTGTGATTTTGATTTGAGGTTGTCGCTTCTCTTCTGGGTGAGTTGCTGAGAGATTTTTTTTGGATTTAAAAAAAAAAAAATAGGTCACCTGTATGTTTGTTTTTTTTTTTCCTTGCCAAGCTTAACTAGTCAAGGATGGGAGCACACAGCACCTTGTTCACGGAGCTCTGCAGACAGCGTGTCTGACCTGGAAAGCTAATTGAAATAGCACACTACAACTAGAGAGAGGCAAGGAATAAGAAAGAGAGGAAAGGGGGGACACAGAGCAAGGCTTGCCAGCAAGTTCATACTAACCTAGCCTGAGGTTTTTGAGTATGACCTAAATTTCAAAATTGGCTAGAAATCTTTGGCACTTCAGGTTTCAGACAGAATGTGGAAGGAACCTGGGGCCCTGCTGTGTATCACATTGGCAGGGATTAGAGGTAATGGGGTCCCAGCCATCTCTGGCTCTCCCACCCCAAACCATGTTGTGTGTGAATGCCCATGGTCCCTTAACAAAAGAGCAGCCATGTGTCTCTACTCGTTCCCCATCTCATCAAAGTCAGGACTGCATCCAGCCCTGACACCAGAAACGAAAATCTCCTTGCTCTTTTGGAAAACTTAAACCAAGAGAGATGAAATGGCCCTAAGTGCCCAAAGTGCTGGGCACCCCCAAAAGGGCTGGATTTGCAAGACCAATGGATTCCCAATAACCTTTAGAAGTTCGGTCTCTTGGTGAAGTGATAAGTCCCATGAGATTATTTTCATCCCTTATGAATTTTGTGTAAGCGGTCTTTCCAATTTTTTTAGTCCTCTCATACTACAGAATAGGCTTAGTCAGAAACCATTTTGATTCATGGATACTTTTGTACAGGATTGCATTTTGGAATTTGATTTTTTTATTATAATTGTTGGATAATACATGTGTGTGCGCAAGCATGCATGCAACTGAAAGATATCCTCAGTGCACATCTTTACATTAAAAGTCTACTTTTTCAGGATTGTGAATAGCTTTAAGACATTAAGGAAAGCATAAAAATCCAGATATGCAATCTCTTGCTACTTCATTGTTTAGAAAGGAGGCCGCAGTCATTTACTTTTCCTGCTTACACCTAGCTGAATAAGGGCTGCTCGTATTTGTTGGTCTTTTCAGACCATGGCAACACATGGACCTGGAAATAAGACTAAAAGGTCTATCACATACAATGGAAAAAGCCCTATAGTTTCCATTTCGGACAATTTTGGGGAAAATAATACTGAGAATAACACTATCACAGCGCCAATATTTTTAAGACAGAAAGTTTTTCCTTACTCATTTTCATTTATTTGTAAATTATTTTAAATAAATTGTCTTTTTTTAAAAAATGTTTTGTAATTTATAAGCCTCCAAAAGGGTTGTCATCCAAATTGATTCTAATTCATGTCTAAAATATTCGTCTCATCAGTCCCAGGGCTGTCAACTTGTTTTTATTTTGGTCTTGATGGTGTTTTCATCAGTCAGAAACTGTTTAGTATGAGACTGATCAAAATTAGCTCTAGGGCATTCTAGTAACAGCACATCCAAAAAGCCAGTTCTTGTTCATTGTCAGAACTTCAGAGGACAGGAGTACCCAAGCTGCTTGAATGGGCAGTGTGTTTCCTATCTCCACGGATTCCCACCTCCATTGCATCTGAGGGCTGCCACCACCTCTTCACTCCGTCAGTCATTAATGCCATGAGCATGGTGGGTCGTGAACAGCAAATGACTCACAGACAGTTTTTAACACAATTCTTTGAACCGTGAAAACTGGTCAAAGACTATGAGAAAAGGTAAGTAACACTCATGATGCTCTTGGGTAGCGTTAAGTGTTAGATGTGTATCGCAATTACATCCTTAAACTGAGGAGGGAGGGAGGGCTTGAGTCAATGGTCAACCACATAAGCTGCAGTGCAGTAGTGGTCATGAGAGCTAAACTGAGCACCTCATGTAGCCACCTGAACACAGCTCCTCTTTGCTACGTGCTCTACAGAAAGCGAGTAGAGGTGAATACTTGACTGTTAAGTGAGAAAACATGTTTTAGAGGCACCGAGCTTTGATCATTTTGACAGCTGAAGTCTGGACTACAAAAGAATATAGATTTAAGCTGAAGAGAGGCAGGATGTATGTGTACCTAGGTATATGACATGTTTTGAAATGTATATATCCATACACGTTTATTTGAATATGAAAATTCACATTTGGCAGAGTGCTACGTAAGTTCTGCTTCCCCTGCAGTGTTTCCTCCATCGGGATGTTCCCCAGTTTTCCTGTGGTCTGTTTTATGGGCTTGGCAAAGGTATTCCCATAAGGTAGGAGGTCAGCACTCATAAAACTTCCCAGAGAACTCAGGACTGATGTAAGCACCTACATGATTCAGGCTGAGCTTTTACACCCAGAAGGTGTCATTCATCCAAGTTATGTCCACATGGAGAGCAGCACAGAGACTTGAGCTCCTCTAGGTGTCCTCCACAGGGGTCAGAAAAAGAATTGAAGCTACTGTTTATAGCCAGGCTGGTAAATTTTCTCCCTCAGAATTTATTTTCCCAGCCCTTGCTCCAAACTAGCCCTGATATATGGCTTTTATACATGATTAACTCACAGTTGTCCGGCTGTGAGCATGAGCAGAGGAAGTGGCAGACAGAAAGCAAGTTTGAACCTGCCTGTTCCTGACCATGTAGGCATGCTGCAAGGTGCCCACGGCAGTGCTGGGCTCTTGCATTTTGCCTCTGGTTCTTTGCCTTGGATTATCAAAGCCAAATGAGGGACTGCCAGGAAGGAGGAGATCAAAAGCATGAATTGCAGCCAAATCAAGGCTTCTGGTCACGTCACACATTTTTCCTTGGCCTCAACACAAGGCAAAATGGAGGTGAAGTGCCTCTAGCAGGTCCAGCCATATTTCAGGAAACCCCTTGGCTGCTGCTATAAGACACGATGTGAAACTCAGAACCCTGCAATTAACGTTGCTGAGGTCTGTAAGGAAGAGCAGGATCTTTTGTTCAGTCTCAGAGAGAGCTGGATACTCAGTGTGAACACTTGACTCCATCCAGCAGCGTTACTAACTGCCTCCCAGCACTGCAGGAGAGGTAGGTGCTGTGGAGGAAGCCTGGGAACTCAAAAGGCAAGGCCACTTGTTTCTCACCTACCACCATATTTCTCTGTCCAACTTTGACATCCTCCTGACCCAGTTACTGTAGTATTTGAGCTATTCATGCCCTTCAGGGTGTTGGACTTCAAAAAAACCCTGAAGCTAAAAAAGTTCTGGGTGGGTGACTGATGTTCACAGAAACAAAATGCTTTTGCCTGTAGTCATGCTGCACTAGAACAGGGATTTGAATGAGGTCTCCTAAGCAGTACTGATTTTTCTATTTGCCAACAATAAGTAGAAATAAAAATAACAACAATAATACAAATTTCAGGTCAATGTGCTGCCATATTATACCCAGTTAAAAACCGAATACAAAGCCTGATAGTTAATTTTCACAAAATCATAAACATGATGCCCTGTGCTCTTTTATCTACAAATGACTCTTTTCGACACATATCCAGGTTGTGAGAGACCAAACTCCATCTACCTAATTCAGAGCAGGGGCTCATTCTTGGCTCACCTGTTTATCAGGAATATGTCCGGCCCTCTAAGTGGTAGGTTAGTCCAATCGATGCTTCTAAATTTCTTGTTAAAGCAGTTCTGTTTTCCATTTATATTTATTCAGTCAACGAAAGAATTAGAAATAGTAGCTGATTTGAAAAAAAGAATGATCTGTTCTGAAAATGATGCTGAGCATCTTTAGAAAACCAGTCTGCAACTGAGAGTGTAGCCAGTACCAGTTTTGGAAGACTGAGCATGCCCTTGTCAGCTGCATAAATTGCTTTTTACACTGGATGATTGAGTTTACTAAGTCATTGCTTGCCGTGTGTTTTCTTTGATGAAGGCATCACATTTCTCTGGGTCACTGTTATCATTAACCTAATGTATCTTTCAAAAAACGGCTTTATGGTTCCTCGAGCAGAGATGTCACAGAGTATCTGAAAACACATTCCTGATGCCCAATGGATAATTTTAACAAAGATTGACAAACCAGCTTGCTTTTAAATTAAAATCCACAAGGCTTTAGCAGAATGGTAATATATCCTACAGTCAAAATACAAATACATTTAGAAACAGATTCTGATACTCAGATTCAACTGTCATATCACTGAAGCAATGAAAACCTATTGTATAAAATATTAGGCAATATAGACAAGGGTGTCAGAATCTGGCCCTCACCTCTGAATGCATATTGAATCCCAATCCAGAGCTCCTCGAAATGAAGGGTATTATGGCCAGAAAATATTCTGGGATTAGGTGAGAAATAATCTTGCTTTCAAATTCATTTATTCAAAAATTTCTTCACTCCATCCAACATGTACATAGAATTCTTATTTTTTTTAATTAAAAAGTAGATCAACCCACAGTCCTAATATGCAGAGGTGGATTCTCTCCTGGATTTAGAAATGCATATATTTTATTTCAGGAATGTCCGTTCCAATTATGTGAAAGCTCAAAGGATCAGACCTTAGTATTTCTTGCCAATAAAACATGAAAAATCCAAAGGTTCACTTTTTATTCTACAGGGATATCTTAGCACCACTCTAGTTATATTAATTCACACTACCATGCAAAATGCTATGAAGTGAGACCCAGTGGCCCAGAATCGTCAAAAAAATCTCATGTATTTTATTCAGACACTTCTCGTAGAAGCTTAATCACCCTAAGTGCTCTCAAAGGTCAGCAAAGAGAAATCAGGTTCCTCCAGAGGGTGCTTCAGCCTCAGATCTGAATTGCCTCGCAGAGGTGCGAGCAGTACCTCCATCAGCTCCGCTGCTGACACAGTCACACACAGTGACTTTTCATTGAGCATCTTGGTTAAATCGGGTGAGATGGTCCAGATCAACATAAGTTCTAATCCTCTGTGTTGTGATTTTTTGCTGCCCTGAAGTCAGTTGATTTTCGCCTCTCTTTCTCTTTCAGCATCTGCTAGTATGTACGTACCGACTGTCTGCAACGGAAGGGAAGTCCTGGACTCCACCACTTCATCTCTGTGATTGTGACTTGCAGTTCAGTTCTTGAGTTTTTAGACTGTTAGGCAAAATTTTGCACATGTTGTGCACTCCGGAAAACACCAGAAAACAAAAGAAATCAAAACAAAACTAGTACCTTTTTTTAGAAACAGTGTAATAAATTATTTTTGAGGATTGTACAGTATATAGTGATGTTCTGGAACTTTTTAGACTGATTTTAGCCCTTCTGTTGTTAACGGTTGTAAGGGACATGTAAATAACCATGGTTCACAATGTGCATAGTCCTTCAGTAAGGGAGTGATTTGTTGCAAGCACAGTTGCAATGTTAGGTGACTTCTTTCCTACGAAATTTTTTTGTAGCTCCTTGTTGTAATTAACTTAGACTGCATTTCTATGTTGTATATTACAGTTACCTTACGTGTAACAGATTGGTTTTCTCAGCAGTATTAATGTAAAGGCACCAATAATAAAAAGATAAAAGTTTTTCAGCATGGTTTCATTTTTGTTTCTTCCTCCCTCAAGGTCATTACATTTCCCTAGACACCAGGATAGCCGCCCTCACTCTATTGAAAAAATCTGAAATCCTCCCTTCTGCCTGGTCCAAAAAGTCATTAAGGAAACAAACACACCTTTGATTACTCTGTCTGAGCATATTTACCGAAGGGCTTGTTCCTGTTGATCTCATTCCAGCTGAGGTCAACAGCAAAATTCTCATTGACTCCACAGGCAACACCACTGAGGCTTGAAAAGCAGACACTCCGGATATATACTGTTGGATGTACAAGTTCTCTGGAGGCCAGTTCTCCTGCATTTGCAGAGGCTTTTACACATTTCTGGAAAGGTGCAAGTCCTTAGGGCTGAACTGGCAAAGGAAGTAGCTGTTATTTTGAATGCAAAAATTAAAGATGAAGGTTCTTAAAATTCCTACTCACAGATAGATGTCTAATTTTTCTGGACATCCACATGTCCACCAGCAAAGACCTCTTGATGTCAACACTTCTGTGAATGGCTACACAGGCAGCCGTTTAAGCCTGTGCATCATGGAGCTGTCTAGTACAGAAATCCCTGTGACTTTCCCCAAAATAAGCATTGCTCAGCCTGCATTACAATGCAGAGCTCTGTTTTCAGCTTCTTTCTCTCCACAAGCTCTGGAGTGCCTAATGTTTCAGGCTTGGTTCCCACCTTGATGCACGGCACAGGAGTCAAGTTTTGACAGATTGGGAGTCTTGCTTTCTAAATCAAGACGCCTGAAAGCATCTCAAGTTGGGCAGCTACATTCATTTGACTTTTGTATGCTTTTTTGTGGATTAAGAGGCTGTTCGCAGTATGGCAAAAGCTCAGAATATCTGACCATAATGCTGATGTCTCTGCATCTACATTATCTTTAAGGAGCTCTCAAAAATGCCTATGCCAATGAGAATTTCTTCTCAATTTTTAGGGAAAGCAACAATCAGGGTCAAATCCACCTCACCTCACATTCATTGTCTACTGTATAAATAGCTACATATCAGATTGTCAACCCCTTCCCCCTTTGTACTCCGTGGAGGGAAGCAGGCACAATTCCCCTGGCTTATCTCAGACTGCTAGTTTAGGCTGAGATGAATCTCTCCAAATAAAGGCTAGCACAGCTTGCTCAGAACACAAAGTTTGCAATGAAAATAAAGGCATTGTGTCAGATGAATTCCAACCCTAGAATCTAAATTGGCATCACTGAAGCTAATTTATAGCAGGTGAGGATCTTACTGTTCCAGAGTTTTCATTCATTTTGATACCACTATTGAGAAAATGACCCAACGTCTGTGTCTGAATACTTAGGTGGTTTGAAAGCCACCTGCATGTGCGTTTTTCATAGAAACAAAAACCACGTGGAGCTCTGGAGTTCCAGCCCCACTGAATGTTCCTGACATTCTTGTACTTTACTTGGTTTTGTCTTGAAAGCTTTTCACTACTTTCCGATGGTGTCCAGGGATGCAGATTATCTGGTGTGGCCTGATGATTCACATAATCCAGTTTCAAAACACAGCAAAAGAAAAAAGGAAAATGTCAAAGTCTGGCAAAGGCTTTGCACACCATACTGGCATGAAAATCTCTTGAGAAAGGGATTTTTTCTTTTTTGCTGTTGTCCCACATCATCGTTTTAGTTTCTCTATTTAAAACAGTTTGTAGTTTTTGTTCCCATTTGTGTAAAACTTGGCTTTGGAGTATAAACCTCTTCTGGTCTCTTTATTGTTCCCATCATATATAAAAATTTGCGTAATTCACCTCAAAGCAGAGTGGGTCCTGTCACAGTTCCTTGCATGGTGGAGGGGAGCCCCAAGTACCTTGGCTGAGAGCCTGAAGAGCCGTCCCACTGCTCTGAGCCCTGCACGCAGCCAACCAGGGGAAATGCTGGGGATGAGAGCAAGGCTTAACCCAGCGTCTCAGTGCCTTACTGGAGGCTGCAGAAAAGTTTAGCTTTTCATTCAGAAGCCGTAACTTCAGAGTACCTTAACTCTCTGATACAAATCAAGAGTGCAGAAAGGTTTGTGAAAAACTGATCAGTTTTTATTCATTGGCTGAGCAGAAAAATAAGTCTCAAAAAAATCATCGCAGGTCAATCTGAAGTAAACAACGTTTGGGGTTTTTTTCCTTTGTTCTTGGTTTTGGGTTTTTTTTGTGTTTCTTTTTTAAGTCTTGAGTGAAGTTTGAAAGCAAAACCAGAATCTACTGTGGTAAACCAAAACATTTTATTTTGTCTTCAAGTGATTGTTTTTCCTGAATTAATTGAACACAACTGGTTTCAGTCATAGGAAAGGAATTGTCTTTTCAAATTGAAAAATGATCAAAACCTATTTAAAAAATATCATGTTCTACCTGAACAAAACAAATCCCAAAAATCAATGAAAAATGTCCAAAACATCCTGGCTACACCCAGAAATCTCAGCTCTGGTTAAAGAGGTTTCCACTGCAATCCTTCACCCAGTTAGTACACTTAGAATAAGGGAGACCAAAACAACCCCCTAACTCATCACCAAACGCAGTCTGATGTCCATGACATTGCCTACTCATTAACGCTTGCAGTCTACAAGAGGAAAGGCAGAAGCTGTTTATCCAGAGCCACCTCAAAGCTTCTCAGCAACATACACAAAGCTGAGTTTTGTCACTGCAAGCAGAAAAGAGGCCAGGGCCAGGCTGGGCTGTTTTTGCAATAGGAAGGGGATGGGTAGGAAGCAAAGGCTGGGGGGGAGACCTGGAGTGCCAATCTTCTCACTTCTCCTGCCTCTGAGGAAACGGCAGGGTCAGGAAGGGGCTTCTGTCTCCCCCGCCGTGCCACTTCCCTACACACACCAACCCTTCCTTTAGAGGCAACAACGGCAAGCCAGGCAACGACTTTACCACTACCTACAACCAGCTCGAAAACAGAGCATGTTACCCCTAGAGTGTCTTTCTAGTATGTTGCCATTTTAAATATGGAAGGAGGCAAGGAGAGGAATGGGCTGTATATAACACCAAAACTCTCAGAGGTCACTCTTGCATGTCTTTTATTCAAGCAAACACACATCCTCACAACCTCGCTTTGGCTTTTAGGTGCTATTAGAGCACCAGCTTCACAGTGCTTGGGACCTTAGAGTTTTCTTCCTGATGAGGTCCAACTCTATACACGCAGAGGAATAACCAAAACACAGTGGCAGCTTATGATCAACTCAATTCACGTGTCTCCCTCGTTCCTGCTGCACGTATTCAGTGTGGGCACATCCAACCAGCTGACTGGGGATATCACCATACATTGTGACATACACTGTATATTTTAGGATGAGCCTGACCTCCTTTTATTTCTGTTCCTACCTCCTTACATGCTTGCCAAAGAAGCACAGTTCACAAGAATTCAAAAGCAGCAAGAAATAAAAGCAAGGGGATTCAGTGAAAGAAGTATACAAGGCGAAAGACTAAGAGAGAACACCACCAAAGATAAGCAGAACTTCCCAAGATTTCTCTCGAGGTTATCATTCCCTGTTACATTACCTCGAATAGCTATTTAAGGCCTCCATTCTTCATGATATGGACCAACAAGCTTCCTTGCTTAGGAAGAAATGTCATCCCCATTGGCATGTCAGCACCAATTGTAGCTGCTTTTAATCTTACAGTGAAGCATTTGTGTTGGCCACTGCTGGAGATGAGTCAACAGCCACTGGCTCCTAAATGGCAACATCTGCTGCTATCTTGTCTGATTATAATTAAGTACCTCAATTTTACGGGTACTACTGGCTCTGGCAGGACAGACAAACCAAAAACTGCAAACTTTCCCCTTTACTAACAGAGAGTCCCAGAACCTCTTTTTCAAGAGCAAATAGTCAAATCCTTTCTTTGAACAAAGATGACAGCTCCTTGAACCTACTCACTAACTTCCCATTGTGGCTCTAAGACACTTAATTTTCCCCAAACCTAGAATCTTAATCAATCGTATTATATATTACAAACATCAACCAACATAATCAGAGCCAAGATAGAATACATTCTTTGCACATTTCCCCCCTAGCAAGTACTGTCAAAGCTGAGACAATAACATTCTGCTAATTTGCCAATAATTTATACAGAGACACCACTAAAATGTGCTTAATCCTCAAAGAGATTCAGTTGCTTGACTCCAGATTTCAAAGAAAAGCATGCAAATGCAGCAATAAAATGCATTCCGTTTAATCAAGTGAACACATAACAGACTGATTCACATTGTTTTACGGCATCAAATAACAGTTTCTGATGTGATTCCATGTGGGGGAAAAAGGGGAGGCTGCTGTAAGTATATTTTGGCAGAGTACTAGAAGAGGTCACAGACAGATGATTTCTTAATGAAGTGTTAAAGGCTTCCAAAATTTGCCTCTTACGGGAAAATGGAAACTTCCCCTCTCTACTATATCTTTAACAGAAAGAAAGGAATAGCAGAAGTCAGCTAAAATATGCTAGTTTTAACTTGCTTAATTGTTGGAAAATGCACTTATTTTAAGGTAAATAAAGTCTACAGTATTGGTTTGTATCCTACTATGTTAGCACTGCACCAGATATGCTATTAGATTGCCTGGAAGAATTTTCAACAATATCATGATAAACCATTTGGAAGCAGAGCTGAGAAGGGTCATACAGCAAAGTCTGTCAGAGATGACAAAAAAATTTCCACTCTCCACTTTATTTGGAAAATAAAAGGGAAAGAGAGGGGAACCAAACAAACCCTCTGTGGTATGAAGTCAAATTAAATATAATTCATAAAAATTAAGGCATTTTGACTTTACAGAGATATGGGTCCAGTGATGAAAGAAGAAATGATGTTCTGGAGAATGAACTGTAATTATGGTTTGGAAAACATATGGAGAGAGAAGGGAAAAAATTAAAGGAGATGTAGACAGATGAGTTTGATGGCAGTGAAAAGCTCTAGTCACCACTGCAGACCTGCAATGTTCAGGAAAGGCTGCAGTTCCACCAAACATCTCAAGTCCAAAATTTCAAATATATTTTCACT